CCAAAAAAAAAAAAAAAAAAAAACCAGGTATACGCTGTGCACCGCCCTTTTCCCCTTCTCCTGTGTAGAGAACCAGACAGAACTCTGGCCAACCAGACCTTCAGGGATGGTGGGTCCATAAATGAGATGACACTGGATTCCTGAAGATTTATGTGCTTTGAAGTTTGTTTGGTCTTTTTTTTTTTAAGGTTTTTTTTTTTTTTTTTGCCATAGGTGAGAGAGAGCAAGAAGGAAAGTGAGAAATCTCCTTCTCTCTCTCCCCCTCCAGGAGGGGGCAGCCACACTGCAGTCTCATCTCCATTCTCCTCCTGGGATTTTGAATATGCATGCAAATGCACCTGGAGTGATTTTTAAGCCACTAGGTCCAGGACTTGACCCTTGGTCGGCTGTGTGGGAGTCCAACATTGTAACCACCACACCATCTGTTGGCCTCTGCTTTGAGTTTTTATATGAGTGAGAAATTATCTCCTATTATGTTGTCCCATTCTACTTTTCTATTTTGTGACTATTAGCAATACACTAAGCAAGATCTCATTTATTAACAGTACACTAAAAGGGGAAAATCAAAAAGGTATCTCAATTAATTTTTTAAAAATTTTGTACTGTTGTTATTTAAGACCTTGTACATTTTTCCCCTACTTAAAAAAAATGAAAACTTTTAGTACAATTGTATACAAATCCTATAAGCTTACATGCTAAGAACTGGCACATAACGCTCTTCATACTAAACATTCAATGAGCAATATGTGACACATTATTGTAGCATAAAGCTATTGCTGACAGAAAGCATCAGACCCAAAGCTTATACCTGAAAAGGGCTTTACTGTGTCATTTATTCCTTGTTACACATTTCTAATTATTATAGTTCTAATAGTTATCTATTGTTCTTGTTTTGGTTTTGTTTCATTTTTTATTGACACACACTAATTATACATATTTATGGGGTACAATGTGATGTCTCAATATGTGTATACACTGTGTAATAATCAAAGCAGGATGTTTAGCATATCCATCACCTAAAAAATGTAAAATTGCCATGACTGGATTTCCACCTACGCATAGCACCTATTCACTTAGAAATTATGAAAAACTCCAACAGCTATTTTGCTTCATAGAAATCCTACGGCAGGCACCTGAGTTTCCGGTTTATAAATAATCTTGCACTGTACTTTATTTTTTTGGTAAATGAATCGCTTGGGCTATATATCATTAAAGATTTTGTTTATGAGAGGTTCAGAAAGAAATAGCCAACATAAAGTAGCAGTGGCAGATAATGAAACAAGTCATGAAGCATATGACAACACAGGTTTAAGAATCAGCTTATGGATGATCTGCCGTCTGCAAAACCTCTCATTTAATATTTGTAAGCACACAGCTGGCAAAGCTTCCTGTATTTTTCAGCACCTTTATTGATTTATGTAGGAATAACAAATAGGGCCTATGGCAGACATTCTCCTAAAGTGATGTTGATATCATAAGGGAATAGAAAAACCTGTTTGGTCTGATTTGGGGCACAGTCCCCTCAATGTGAGAAGTATTCAGTGCCTCTAAACAAGCTTCTCATTGACCATACTGGAAATAGGAGGAAGACCCCTGGTAACAAAATCATTCTGGAAAATTTGAGATTTAACAGCCCATTAACCTGCTATTAAAGACCACTGATGGGAATTTCTTAGAGAAATGAAGTTGCATTGTGTGAGAAGTTCTCAATGATACCACAAAGGGAACTTGGCAATGGGAGGGAGAAGGAAGGAAAGATTCTTATCAAAACCCATGCTATTAAAAAAATGAAATCGGAGTGCACAAAGCTGAAGACACAGATTACAGGTAATGGCGCAGAACCAGGTTACATCAGCATTGAGTTTCAGGCAGTTCCCATTCTGTTTCACCTGCATTTGCAAAAAGTTGAGCCAGTGTCAACTTCCACTTAGAATGCAGTTGATCACAGTGCTATGGAAAGTCAAACTGACAGTTAAGAGGAAGCAAAAGGTTCAGGGTCATGTCTCAGCTGGGTTTTAATTTATTCTGATTAGGCATACTAACACAGCAGAGCATACTGTGTTTTTTTTTTTTTTCCTTTCTTTCTTTTTTTCTTTCTTTCTTTCTTTGTCATCATCTTCTTTCCTTTCTTTTTTTTTTTAAGATTAGAAATCATGAATAAAAATACAGTTTTATTCTGGTTACTACAGAGTTTACAGGACGGTGATGATGGAGGAGGTGGGTTGCCACATTATCACATTACTAGATTTGTTAAAAAAAAAAAAAAAAAAAAAAAAAAAAATGCTCTCCATATGTAGCCGGGTGAGCAGCCCTGCTCTCTTTGTGTTACATAATGTCCCATCTGTGCTCATGGAGTGTGGCTTGATGAGGATGCCATCAGGTGATGTGTTTGGCTTAATGGTATTCTTTCAGAGCTGTAGCAATAAACATTAAAGGGTCTTAATTGTATTCTTTGCAGTGGGAGCAATAAACATTAGGAGCCCTATTGTACCCTTTCCCTAAATATCCCCCAAGCCCAATTTGGGGAGTGTCTTGATAGCCAGCTCTAATTTCAAATTCTCCCTCCCATTCTATGTATTTTGAAATTGAGGGTCTGAACAAAAACAAAGAGACTAAATTAATAGACCTATCTCTGCGTAACCACTTTCTAGAGAGCTGAAGCAGTTCCTATTATTTATCTGACCACCAGAACACTAACAGAATAAAATAAGATATGCCAGGAGATCTGATTTATTTTTCTATGGTGACGACTTTTGATAAACTGTAGTTACCGGCCACAGATTCTCATGGATAAGATTTTTAGTTGGTACTTAGAAGACAGATCCATGGAACAAAAGACTAATTTGCCTTGGAGATCGAGAAGATTGTGGGATTTTAAACTAAATCAATCATGAAGTGATAACTCATGATAATCCCGGCTCTATTTCATCTACAGATTTCTGCCTTTCCTTTTTCTTTTTCTTTTTTTGGGGGGGACAGGGAGGGATATAACTTTACACTGAAACAACAAATTCTCCATAAAAATACAGGGGTCTCAGTATCATTTGTAATGTCAGGTGTTCAACATACTCTCAAGGTAGAAAGACAGGTTTTAAAAATTTTTTTTAAAGATCTGTACCTGTCACATTCATACCAGTAAGTCATTAGATTCTAGTGATTTTTTTCCAAATTAATGGTACACTTGCTTTACTCATTTTGTTGTTCTGATTTTGATTTCCTCTCTGCCAGAATTCTGTGTGGATCAGGTAGAGAATTAAAAACTGGTGCATGACCACAAATCATTCAAACTGATAATCCCATCATTTCTTCTATAGACTTTTTCAAGGCAATTCTTCACAAATGAGATATTTAGCTAAACTAAATTACAAATAAATAAGCAGAGGAGTTATCATGGAGTCAAACATTATGTATGTGTAGAAACTTTATGGTTTGGGGTTCTAAATAAGCAAAATTAATTGGACATAAATGGAAATGTATGATATGAAGAATGTGCTACTATACTGCTTTAAAGTCTAGCCTTTATTCTAAACTAGAAAGTTTTAGTTTCCTTTTATTTTAACTGTATTGTAGCTTCTTACTAAAATAGGGAATAA